AAAAGCACAATCCAGTTTTGAAAAGTTTGGCATATTTTTATAAAGTTAAATATACACTTACTACAGGATTTAAGAATCACATTACTTACTGAAGCAAAACAAAACAAAACTTGAACAAAAATATTCATAGCACCTTTAGTACTAATCATCAAACACTAGCAACAACTCGGTCGTGCCTCAAAAGTGGAGTGGATAATCTGTGACACATCAGTACAGTGCAGTGTTACTCAGACAAATGAAGGAACCAACTCTGGGTACATATACCACCTTCAATGAATGCCAAGTATACCATGTTAAGTGAAAAAAACAGATTCAAAAAGCTGCACACTGTGATTTCATTTCTTTCATTTTGGAAGAAGCACACTTTAAGAGCAGAGACTAGATTCAAAGTTGCCAGGGGAACCAGTAGGGGCAGGGCTTAAAAAAATGGGGTAGTGTAGCACGATAATTGTTCTATATCTGGATTGTGATTATATTACCTATTTGTTAAACTTCAGACCTATACATCAAAGAGTAAATTTCACTATCCATAAATTGAAAATTAATTTTCAAAAAAAAATCAAGTGAAAAGTAATAATTGTAAATGATTGAATCTTTTTTTTAAAATTCTTTTATTGGTACATTTTAGGTATACAATACGTTTATATTTATCATTGGGTGTTTGTACCTGTACATGATATATCTTGGTTCTTATTTTTTCCCCCATTACCTGTGCACCCTTCACCCCTACCACCCTTCCCTATTTACACAGATTTTGTTTCCATTTTTTTTCTTTTCTCATAATTTTTCCTTTCCCTTCTTCCCTTTCCCCTTCCCCTCCCACCACCCCTACACCTTTGGACCTTTTCCTTTTTCAAATTATCAATTATTCATTTTAATCAAGTAAATGATTGAATCTTGCTGGATTAAAGCAATGATTCCAGAATCTAAATTAATATGAAAAACAAATCAATAAGCAAATATATGAAGAAGGAAAAACTTTTCCTTACTACAGAAACCAACTAATAACCTAAAGTTTGGAAACATCTGAACTAATTGATAGCATATAAAAATTTGAGCTTTGTTCCTGGGAGAGGGTAATGGTCTCATTGCTCCTCTTTCCCTGTCCCTTTAGATCAGTGCACCTCTAAGAGGCGTCCACTGCATGACAGTGATGACTCATTTTCCACCTGGTGCCCACACGGAGCCGGTTGGTCCCTAGGATGCTCCTGAGGCTCTGGGATGGATGGAGATGTGGGATGGGGCTGGGGGGCCTAGCTCAGGCCTGTCTTCTGCCCTGAGGGGTGGCAGGGCTGGAATGAGGGAGGGCAGCTCACCTCCCATGAACTCTGGGTCGCTGCTAACCCACCCTTCTATCTTCCACCAATCCAGGACACAGCAGTGGCACAAATGGCTGCTGGACATGAAGGGTGGCATTCAAGGAATCAAGTGACTCAAATTCCCTCCTGGAGTCACTCAGGAGAAATAGCCCTGGGTCTGAAAGTGACCGCTGGGAGGGTCAGGAGCCCAGACATGGGACAAGAGAAAAGCTCAACACTCTCTGGGTAGAGATGTGCATTTCAGGCAGACAGGAAAAGGGAAGGACACTGGTGGGACATTGGCCTAGGCCAACCAGCTGCCCTCCAGGAAGAAACTGAGCCTCTAACTCCCATTCTCCTTGAATCTACCAGTAGATCAGCATCAAGCCATCCCTGTTTCTTTCTGATCTGATTAATCACTGCCGCACACACAGCCTGAGAACTAAACTGCTCACTCATTTGGCCTGGTGTAAATTCTAAAATCTCACTTGATATCATCTGGACATCCCCTGTCAGATACAGGCAGACACCAAGGCAGAATGACATCTATCCCTCTAGCTAAGACCCTGATAATGACAACTGCTATGGCTAATGGCAAAGACAGTAGGGGCAGCACCAAGGTGAGCAGCAGATTTCAGGGAGGAAAAACCCCTGCCTCAGAAGCAGCTTGACTCAAGTTTTAGAGGGGGCAAGGGACCAGGGCAGGACAGGCCCAGGAAGCAGAGCCGAGAGCCAAGCACCTGGCAGCTCTGAGCCCCTCTCCACTCTCTCCCCTAACTAAGCCATGGGAGTGCACGTGAAGAAAGACAGTCTGAAAGCCGTCCCAGATCTGACACTTTCCAGACTGCTCTGCGTATAAGATCAGAAGCAAGTCATTAGGAAAATGCCCACTCATACCCTAGTTGAAACTCCTTAAAGCCAGAATGACAATAGAAATGTGTGCCATCAAATCACATTCAGAATAATGGAAAAGTCCTATTGGAAACAACTACATTTTCCTGCCACCTTAATTCTGTATATTCTTTCTATATTCCCTAAGCTGGGATTCATGTCCCCTTGGTTCCTAGCTGAACACTGCATATGGGGCCAGGTGTGGTTTCTGTGCAGACAGAGGGCCTGGGTCTCTGTGGCTCCAGCCGAGCCCCCATCCACCATGGCAGGTCCGCCAAGCTCAGGAACAGCAGCCTCACTGCAGCTGGCAGCAAGGGAGGTTTTCCCAAATCAATGGCAGAGGATTGGCAATCAGTCTGGGCAGGAGGAGGAATGGCTTTATCCTGTTTTCTCTGGCCTGGTACTGGCTGTCACTTTCCTCTGATTCTGAGCTGTGGGTGCTGCAGCCCTGGCCCCATGCTTGCGGCAGGGGAGGGAAGGTGACAGAATTCAGGTGAAAGAGCTCACTGAGGTCAGTTAGTCATCCTGCAACTGGCCCCACATACACCACATCCTTTGGTTCATTTAATGGTAAGAGTAACCTCTTCCAGGTCATGTCTGTTGGAAAACTCCTTGGTCCCACAGGTGTGGCAACCTGGGTGGGATGTAGGTATTCTCTGGAAAGAAGTTCCAAGTTGGGGCTCCCCCCAAAGTATCCCTTTTGCCCACTGCTGAAACAAACCTCCTCTCTTTCTCCAGTGTGGAGAACACTTTGGAAACAGCATCAAAAGTGAACTCACAGACAAGACAGCCTTAATAAATTAGTATAATACTATTAGAAGGGGGCATTTTGTTTCATTTCTTAGCAGCATTGTCCTACATGCAGCCTGACAATTTCCTTCCCTGGGAAATTTAAAAAGCCATCCCCTGGTTGTTAACTCTGATGTTAAATTGTAAAATAGAAATCTGGTAGGGTTTGTTTTGTTTAAAAAGGAAAAGCCCTGCAGAGCAGGTGGGCAGATGGTCCCAAGCAATCCGGTTAGCTCTGGCCATTTTGTCTGTCTACCGTGTTTCTTCCGGGAGGCTGGATCTGGATGGAGTCCAGGAGGGCCCGGAGGGCTTGTCCAAAGGGCCTGCTTAGTGTGTTTTTATTCCTGGGGTGTCCCAATCAGTGGGCACTGCCACCTCTAAGGCCTGGAGAGTGAGCTGTGGTTTGATCAGGCTGGCTGCCCACAGGAAACTGGAGTTTTCTATACTGGAGGTACTTGTACCTGTGATTCTTGTGAAGAAAATAATATTGAAGAGAGGAAGCTGAGGTCATCCAGGGAGTACAGGAAACAGTCAGGAAAAAGGACCCAAACCAGGATGCAGAGGTGTCGTTGTTACTTTGTAAAGGGCTCCCTGTTTTGTCTCGTAGTAACTTAGGAAAAATCACTGCAAACAGTGGAGAGGACTTCAGAGGGCAGGTCAGTGATGTAAGAGGGTGTCTTCCACCCAGTCAGGAACTGTGCCACTTCGTTGCTAAAGGTGTTACAGTTGTATTCAAAGAGGTTGTAGGCTTCACCTCGGAACAGAGACTCCCCCAGGGAGGACAGGTACTCCAGAAAGATTTCTTCTGCCACTTCAGTGCTCCCCAATTCAACCACAGAGTCTGGAGGTCCAAGAAATGTCCCTCCTGGGGGACAGCTGGAGATTCCGCCACTACCAAAGAAGAACTCATTCTTGTGCACAACTACGGAGGTGTGCTAGATGCCTTCCAGTTGCTTCTCCTCTGCGGGGTGTGGTGATGCAGGGCTGTAATCCCAGCGCCCTGGGAGGCTGAGGCAGGAGGATCTCAAATTGGAGGTAGTCTGGACAACTTTGCAAGACCCTGCGGAACTGCAGAGGAAGTTCCCCTTTGTCGCGGAGGGAAGTTCTCTTTGAGGGACACACAAGAATATCCTCCGCAGTGTCTCTTTCACAAGGGACACTGCAGGAGGCATCCTCAACTCCCAGCACCGCGCCTAGGCCAGGACCACCTGGGACCCCACAGCCTTAGCTCAAGGGGGTCCGGAGGGCATGGTCCCACCCCAAGGCCCCAGCAAGGAAGGACATGACTCCGCCATCCCTTCTGCCTGGATGAAAACCCAGCATGATGGGACTAAGCCGCTGGGCCAGACCCTTGGACAGGTCGTACACATAGAGCTTCACGGGGTACAGATGCGGCGGCTCCATGGGGACCCGTGGCAGCGGCCACGATGGCCCTCGGGCACCTGGCAGAGGCTGGGACCTTCCCGTATCCGACAGGGTGGGGAGAGGTGGGAGGGGGGACCGAGCCCAGGCCAGGCCTGTGGGGCGGGGGACAGGCAGCCCTGAGCTGCTCGCACCCCCCCCCACCCGCTACTGGAAAGGACTACTGAGTACTTTGCAATCTTGCACAACAAAGGAGGAAGGCACAGAGTCCAAGTCACATCTGCTATTGTCAGATTGGACCTACATTTACAAAGGTAACTGGAGAGTACTTTGGGAGCAACATACATCTTTATTAAAACAACTTAAACATTAACCAAAAAAAGGTGACCACAGAACTTTGAAAGCAGCCCTGTCTTAATACAATTAGTTCCTCCACATGTCTTAACTTTATCAGTCATAACTTTAGCTTTGGTTTTTATCTCCAGACTTTGATTTAAAATTGCATAACCACCTTGAACCATACCTTTGAACTTTCCCTACCTTTAAACTTAACTAGGGGCTGGGTATTTAGTTCAGTGGTTCTGCCTCCTGCCTCGCAAGCGCAAGGATCTGTGTTCGATCCCCAGTACAAACAAAATAAAAATAAATACATAAACTTACCTTTCCACAGTCTCAGCACCTGTTACACAAGGATAGCCCTTTACTAGGCATCAAAAATAAATCGTTCACTTTGTCCGTCCACCAGAAGTTTCCAGCTTGCTTAAGAAGAAAGTGTAATCCATACTTGACCTGGCTGAACAAATAAAGTCAGTAATATCAATAAAAAATAATAATAATAATTACTGAGAAAAAAAGGTCAGTAACTCATGTAAAATGTTTACACTTGGCAAATCTGAATAAAAGGGATCCAGGAACTTTTTATAGTTTTCTTATAACTTTTTCTAAGTCTGAAATTATGGAAAAATTTAAAATAAGCTATTAAGACAGTAAATGTCTCTTGAGATAGAAATAGCAAGCCAAGGAAGAAACAAATAATCTTATGATGAAATCAACATGAACCCGTTTACCAAAATCAAGAGTCTAGAAAAAAAATTCTGGCATTAACTGAACTGACCAGGGTGTCATGTCTCAGCACAGAATCTGGAGTTGCTGAATTTCTGTGTTCCACTGTGGCAAGGGATTAATTTGATGCTGTTAAATATCTCAGTTACATAAGCAACTCCTTCCTCCAACTCTTTTCTTACTCATCAGTGATCAACAAAATTCATAACAGCTAAATCTTGGATGTGGCCTATATATCTACCAACAGATGAATGGATAAAGAAAATGTGATATTTATATATACTGAAGAACTACTCTGCCGTGAAGGATAAATTTGAATCATTTGTAGGAAAATGGATGTATCTTACGACCATAATGTTAAATGAAATCAGACACATAAACCTAAACATTCTGTAACTTCTCATATGAGAAACCCAAAGTATAAGTAATTTCAAAAACAAAATAAAAGATAACAGGAACAGGGAAACAATAGGAAAGGGAGGAGAGGGATGAAAATAATTAAGATATGTTAAGTACATGTACCGATTTTTTCAATATATAACTTCAAGTGCAGATCTGGGTACATAATGATCATGTTGACTTACAGTCGTATTTATAAATTTGGTTATAAATCAGCCTCTTCTCCATTTGATTAATCTTTCCAACCCTTCTCAACTCTGGGACATCAATTAAAGTGTTATGGGACCCACAAGCCTCTTAGGAATAGAAGTCATACTCTAAAATTCTAGATTTATCAAGGCTGCTTAACTGTGCAAGCTCTTAGATGATAACATCTCTCTTATTCCTTTGTCTTGTCATGAGCTTTTTTCAGTAACAGGTTTGTCTCATTTTCTCATTGCTGAGACACAATACTTGATACCCACAACTCAAAGGAGGGAAAGTTTATTTTGGCTCACAGTTTATAGGTTTCAGTCCATAGTCAGCTGGCTCCAAGGCAGGACAACATGGCAGAGAGGCACAGCAGAGGAAAAGCAACTTGTGACTTGGAAGACAGGAAGCAGAGAGGGCGATCAGGGAGGAAGCACACAGATAGATCCTTCCAGGCCATACCACCAGTGACCCACCTCTTCTAACCAGGCTTTACTTCCCAGCATCACATTTAGTTATAAACTCTTCAGTGGACTAATATAATGATGAGTATCACACCCTCATGATCCAATCACCTCCCTAAAGCCCCATCGACAAGGGCATGAAGCTTGGGGGCACATCTAGTTACAAACTATATAACTTCAACAGTCATAAAGATGTAATATAAAAAATAAAATTAAATAAAGTTGGTAGGAAAAAATCATATGGCAAGTGTCTGGCCAGTGGGTTGAAGGGAGGCCTGGTCAGGAGAATTTTCAAAGAAAATAACATGTGTGGAGCAGACATTACAAAGTGGGAACTAAACTTTTATTTTTAGTATAGAATTTATACTAGTTTTTATTAGTTTGTTGAGACACAGTAAGACAAAACATTTTGGCAGACAGGCAGCCACCTGATTCCACACTACAAAGATGCAGAGGACACCAGACCACCAGACCAAGATACTGAGTCCCACTGTTGCCAGCCCAGAGGTAGGGGCTTCTGAGCTGTCGTCCCACTGCTCCTGGTCCAGAGGAAGGGGCTTCCCAGTCACCATCCCTCCTGCTGCTCCGAGCCCACAGGAAAGGGCTTTTGGGCCACCTTCTGTCCTGATGCTCCTGGCCCAGAGGAAGGGGCTTCCGGGCCACCATCCCTCCCACAGTTCCCGGTCCAGAGGGAGGGGCTTCTGAGCCACCATCCCACTGCGCCTGGTCCAAAGGAAGGGGTTTCCTGGACACCATCCCTTCCGCTACTCCCAGCCCACAGGAAAGGGCTTTTGGGTCACCATCACTCCACTGCTCGCGGCCCCTGTCCCACCTCACCCAGCTCAGAGGAGGTTATCTGTGCAGGCACTAACAGACCCCCGCCACAGTTGAAATGAGAAGACAGGTAAATAGGTCTCAAAATCAGACTTCCAGATCACCTACAGCAACCCCAAAGGGAAATGAGATGCTACACTCTGATACTCAACCATCTGGACCCACTGAACTGGCAACAAAAGGGGATCTGGAAAAAATGAAATCAGAAATAATTTCTCAGATAACAGGAGAAATAGTCCCCCTAGTGCAAGACATGATTAATAAATCTAGAGAGGAGCTCAGGAACATGAT